TCAAAATAATCATCTTTTACTCAAGCACTTAACTCGTGTAAAAATATAACATTGAGTCTTTCCATAAAAAAATCATTTAATGTTTCTAAAATGTGAAAACTTAACATAAAATAATTACATGGTGTATTCATACTTCTCTCTCTATTATTTTTTTGGCCAACGCGTTCATACTTTTAGTATTAGTACCATCATTTGTCATTCTACAAATATTTTAATCCTACATAGCATAATACCACTACATGTTTTTGCTTCAAACTTGCACACACATCGAGAGTTATACTCTCTCTATCCTTAATTATACTCATGGACACATGTCAAAAAAATGATTAAATTAATTAATGTCTAAAAATTGATTCCATTTTTCATATATACCCTTCACTAATACTCTACATTTCATCTTTCCAATTTTCTGCATGGGAAACTTTGCTCCTGAAATTAAAATAATTTTGATATAAAATTTAACATGTAATTTATAATAAAAATACTCACATTGCAGTTCCTAAAAAAGAAATGCTCCATACTGCCCTACTCAAAATATTTTTTGGCCAGTACTACTTAAATTATTGTCTTTTAAGATAATTTCCTCTATCAATAATTATCTGGAGCCATGCCTCTTACGTATATATATTCTTAAAAAAATAAGATAATTAGTGAGAGATTTTATCCCTAACTAATTAATGCAAAAAAAATTTAACCTTTGGTGATGACTTTTAATTATATATTTAATTATGTTTATTTAAAAATAAAAATTAAATTTAAAAATTAACTAAAATATTCATAATAAAATTATTTAATATTTAATATTTTATTTATTTTAAGTTTATTTTCATTGAAAAATAATATTTTATTAAAAATACAATATAAATAATAATTTAAATAAAAGATAAATATGTTTAACATTGTAATAATTGAAAATAAAATTTAATATGTATATATGTTTGTATTTTTGTAATATATTATTTGATATATTTATAAAGTTAAATAATATATATTTAATTTCTCATATAATAATTATAAGTGCTTTTCAGTTCAACTGGTAAAGAAGGAGAGCACAAGGCTTAGAAGGTATGAAATCAAGGATTCAAGTCTTAGCTTTAGTATAAACATAATAAATATATGATATAATAAGGAGCAAGTAACATGGCGCAATGTGAATTGCCATGAGTTGTCGCATACGAGGCATAAAATGGTCAATAACAATGCAGTTGATGAGGTATAAGATTGTTAGTGACATGTCATGATTTGAAGCGCACATGGCGAATGATGTTGTATCATCATTTTTAAGTATACACATATTTAGTGAGGGATTAGCGAAGTTATTAATGCTAATATTTCACTAAAGTTATCAAATTTTGAATCCTCGCTAAAAATTAATGGGGGACTGAATCTCCCTCTAAATTCCTCGCTAATTAGCAAGGAACAAATGAACCCTATTTAAATTTAGTGAATCTTTTTTTTTAATAATTTGTCCCTTGCTAAAATGGAATTTAACGAGGGTATTTTTTTAATAATGTATTCTTATAAAGTTTGAAATAAGTTGCATGATTTAAATTTTATAAATAGTATGATTCTTTTAAATTTTAAATTATATATTAATATATTGATTATATAAAATTTACAAATTAACTGTATTATTGATAAATTACCACTTGTGACAAGTTAAACTTTTTGCTTTTTTTTTTTTGCCCCCTCATATACTCGAAATTCACATATCTACTAGATGTATTTTGTTTTATATGAATTTACCTAGTTTATTTAATTTCACAGTGGGAACACCACCATGTCTCGGTTTTATTGGAAGCTAACTTGAAATACTTGAAATATATAAATTTGGCTAAATTATATTTTTAATCCTTTAACTTAATATAAGATTTATTTTGATATTTTAATTTTATAAAATATCTTTTCAGTCGTTTAATCCTAACATCGTTAATTTTATGAAAAAAATCTTTTACATTAAAATTTAAAATATTGACAAAATATTTTTAAATGTTAATATATTAAATTTGATTTTTTAAAAAAAAATAATGTTTGACATAAAAAAATCATTTCAAAGTAACAGTATTGGGATTAATGACTAAAAAGATATATAAAGTTGGAAAATCAAAAATATATTTTAGCCTATAAATTTAAATACCCAAACTACTTTTCTATTGCTTAAGTCTGCTTGCTAATAAAGAGGGGAGGAGAGGGTTTTTATATTACTTTGTTTTGTTTTGTTAGAGTGAAAATCTTCAATGATCTTTTGTTTGGTTAGGATAGGTAAGGGAGGTGAGATAATAACTAATTTCCATTATATCCTTATATAATGATTTTTATTTTTCATTTATCTCTTACATAAATTAATTATACATCTTAATTCAAATTTCTTAATGTATGTAAAATTCAATTTTATCCTATATACTTCTAATAAATGCATGAAAATTAATATAATAATAAAAAATTGACTCACCCTCTTTTTATGATGATGATAAAAACATCCGAATGGAGTTATGGAATCAAGAGAACACTAATTACCAAGGTACGTAAAACCGGACCGGTCATTAAACCGGTCATGGCACTGGGTCACGGGTTAGTGGTTCAATCAGGGTTGAACCGGGGGTTGAACCGGTGGCAAACCGGTCATGATTAAAATAATACAATTTAAATAAAAAGACATTAATTATAAAAACATTCAACCAAATCCAACCACTCAAAAGTCTAACAATAATAAAATACTATATTTTTGGACTTAGCATGCTCTATCTCTAATTTTTTATTTTTTGACTTTAATTTTACTTTTTTTTGTTATTTTTTTCCGAACTCAGAGCTTTGAAAAATTAAAAATGAAAAAAAAATCAAAAACGACGTCGTTTTGGGGTAAAAGTCTGAAAAAATATTAACCCGGTTAACCCAGTCAACCCACCGGGTTATCCGGGTTATACCGGGTTGAACCCGGGTTGACCGGGTTACACCGGTTCACTCCCTCACCGGGTTAAGTGCAAACCCAGACCGGACAGGGGACCGGTTCACCGGTTTCCGGGTTGACCCGGCCGGTCCGGTCCGGTTTTCAATACCATGCTAATTACAACCCATCTTCATCTCTCCTTGCTTCTCCCATTGTTGGCTAAAGTCCCAACGTAGCAGGCAGCCAAATGTTCATCACCTTACCTAACACATCCTAATGAAGGAATTATTATATTAATAATAATTGATGAAACTGAATTTTTCTTATATTTTACATTGGCTTTCACGTACAATAAGGAGCCTCTCCCATCACAATCAAGGAATATGAGGAAACACGAAAAAGTAACAAACACACAAAAAGCATTTTTTTAATAAAAAATATTTAAATAAGGTTAAATGATAATTTGAACAATGAATTATAAATTCAGGAGTAGTTTAAACCTAAAACTTATATTTAATACATTTTAACTCTGAATAACTAACTTAAAGCAAGTTCTCCATGAGGTCAAGTTGGCATAGATGCTCGTTACTTTTTTTTGAAAAAAAAATTGGAATCGGATATGCAATTTTTACCCTTGTCAAATTACACTATTCCTCTTCCTTGCTCTTTGTGCAACAACCCAATGGCTGTCAGAGTGCCATCACTGAGCACTCCCTTATATACCAAACCAAATCCTCCATTGCTAATTACATTTTCTTTAGTGAATCCCTCCGTTGCCCCTTCTAGCTCTTTGTATCTGAAACTCTTGGAACTCCTCTGAATTTAGGTGTTGTCAATGTTGGCCTGCTCATGTTTCCTCCATAAAGTTGGGGTAGGATTTTAGGCGATGGAGAAGGAAGATGATGAGTGAAATGGCAAGGAGAAGCATGAATATCATACATCTAGTCTCATTTTAAAAAATAACAGACATTTATGCCAATTTAATGGTTAAATAAAATTATTTAAATTTAATTATTTAGAGTTTAAAATATATTAAACATAAGTTTAGAGTTTAAATTGCTTCTGAATGGATAATCTAAGGCCTAATTATAATTTAAGGTCTAAATTACCATTTAGGCCTTTAAATAAAAATTAAATAATTCTTTTCAAACTCCTTTTTGGTGGAAAGAAATAAATAAAAACAAAAGTTCTCTAATCAGAAAACAGACCCTTTACTTTCCCTTTTTAAGTTCTCTGCAGCCACTATTTTAAGTTCACATCCTTCCTCACTGTGGCCACTATTAAATGTCAGAGAACAGAAAAAGGAAGAATATGAAATTAAAATAGGAAACATCAACTTGGCCAAAACCGGCAAAAAAGCATATATTTTAATTTCCTTAGAAAAGCCATTAACGTACGAACCACGAAGGCTGAAGAACAAGAGAGGAGGAGAAGTCTGCGAAATTCATAACACAAGTCTCTTCAATATCTACCAGGTTGGATTCCTTATTTTCTGGAGCTTCGGTTTCACTTTCTTTCTTCTGAAAATGCTTTATCTGGAGTTTTTATTTGTTTTTTGTTCTTCTCTCTCAGTAACTTTTGGTTTGAGGTTCATTTCGAAACGCTCGATTATTTTTCTTTTCTTTTCTCGCTTTCCGTTTTTCATCTACTCATAGCTGAGTTTCTCTTTCCTAATTTGGTGGCAAAGATATTGTTGAGTCGGAAATTCTTCCTTAGCTCGATTTATTGGACTTTTTTCAATTGTTTCTTGTTATTCTTCCAAGATCACTAATCTTTCTGTAGTTTATATGTTTATCAACAAAAGCAACATTTTCTCACTTCTTTCCCGATTCTCATCTCTGAACCGTCGGTTCTTGGTGGGATACTTGGATTTTGTGAAGAATAGCAGTCGTAGTAATAATAATACATTGTAGATCTTTCTCTATGTGATGTGAAACCACTGGATTTACTGTATTTATAATACCCTCTCTATTAACCAGTTCAGGTACGGTGTTACCCCCACTTTGATTCTGCTGATATATATATGTATGTGTATGTATATGTATATGGAATTTTTTGACTGTATAATTTACAGCATATAATAACCATGTGTTACGGATGAAGAAGAGGGGATATGACGAGAAGAAAGATACAGATAAAGAAAATAGACAGTGTAACAGCAAGACAAGTGGCTTTCTCAAAGAGAAGGAAAGGTCTCCTCAAGAAGGCACATGAACTCTCAATTCTCTGTGATGCCGAGATTGCTCTCTTGGTCTTCTCTTCCACTGGCAAGCTCTTTGATTATGCTAACTCAAGGTTCTTATATATATATATATATATATGTTATCTCTACTCTTAATTTCATTCTTATACACACACATATATGTACAAAGGGATATTTAATTCTCAAACACGCACGCACGCACGCACGCACGCGCACTCAGACGCAGAGAGAAGTTTCCACAATATCATAGCGATTGATTTAAGAATGCAATATGAAACTGTATGAGTACTCATTATTATTATTATTTTCAATATGTGTGCATCTGCACTTAGCATCTCTCACTTTGTATGATCTATAAAAGTAGCCACCTAGGAACATATGTTTTGATTTTTATTGTATAACTTTAATACAGCAGCATTTCTCATCTAGTTGATAAGAAGCTTTTGTAACTGTTCTCATTAACTCCATGATCTTCCTCTTTTAATAAATTGAATTCAAAGGGTTAGAATTATAAGTTGACCACTAGTTAGAATCTACATGATTCTTGTTTATTTATTTACTTCTAACCTTAAATTGCAATGCATGTGTTTTAATACTGCTGTTTCTGTTAAGTAAGAACTTAAAGGGTCAACGAATGAATAAATATTTTTATGGATTTGATGAAGCAATTGAATCATGATTAATATCCGCACAGTTGAAGGTGCTGAGTAAAAACCATTGGGATTCTGAAGAATTTCTTTATTTATTTTGACATATATAAAACGGTTCTTAATTATGTGATCTTTTGCATTGATTGATTTCATGGAATAAAATGGATAAAGGCAGTCAAATGAGTTACTGTTTTTGTTGGTTTCAGTATTCAGCAGGTAATTGAAAGGTATGATCAACATTCAGCCATTCAAATACAAGGTAAATCACCTGTTGATGTGCAGGTAATCAATGAGTCAATATCAATCATCAATATATTTATATAAGTTATAGAAAGTTGTACTTTATTAGCTGTCAACGATATGCCATATCTTATGTTTTGTGCAAGTAAACATATGTGGTACTCTGTTTACTTAACTTTGTTCTTTTCTTTTCTATTTTGGATGACATACTTAACTACTAGCTAGTTTCTCTAAATTATGACTTGCGCACGCTCCCCCTCCCCACCCCTCTTTCTTATTTAATTGACAATGGGATTTGACTACTGAATAACTAAGCAAACACTTATTATCAAATGAACCAGAGGGAAAAAAAGGATTTGCTTCACCAACAGGAGTGGGTCTAGTAGAAGGAGTTAGTCCTTCACAATATAGCGAACTCAAGTTTGGATTCTCACTTAGAGAGGCACAAATTTAGTATCCGATTATGCCTCAAATAAGAGGGGGATCTCCTTCTTTGGAAGACTTAAACTCACTAAAGAAATTAAGTTCGTCATACCTATAATTATCCCTCCATCTTGATTCTTTGTAATTTGTTGTCCATAACTTCTTTTTCTTCTCCGCCCCCATCTTGAAGATTTTTCCCCTTCTAGATTTGATCAGGTTCCAGGATAATAGGGGCTAATCTTACGAACAAAAGTGAAACTGAATTGCCCTACAAAAAACCCTAGGTCCTGAATTAGCTCCACAGAAGAACCAAAAAGGGCATTGCTTTGATGGGTGACATAATGTTGAAATCAATTTATGATAACATATGAAATAATTGATATTAAATCACGATACGCTAATCTTCTCAAGTCTTTTGGTATCTTTCCTTTGGTTTTTTTTTTTTTTTTGAAATAGGCACAATCTTAAAGGTGATGAGAACGAGCTGCACAAGGCAGGAGTAGCAGAAAAGACTCGTGAATTGAGGTATACAACTTTATACTATGCATACCATGCATGAATGTTCACAAGATTATTATGTTCCTAAGACAAATGATGATTTGCACTATAAATTAATTCAACAGGCAGCTGAATGAGGAAGAGCTTCAAGGATGCACACTTGAAGAATTGCAGACCCTAGAGGAAAGACTTGAAAGGGACTTGTCCCGTGTTTCAAAAACAAAGGTTTCGATTTAATCCTTTTTGTGCTTCAATCTTCATCCTCTCTAAAAGTTTGTCAAGTTCTAAGCAAAATTCTAACATCTGCATCCCAAAATTTAAGTCACGTTTTAGAAGATTTGGGATACTCGAAATGTAAGTCATTTTATGGCATTAAATGTTGTCTTTTCAAATTTTCCCCGTGAGAGATTTTAAAAGAGATATATCATTAATATGAGATTATATTTTAATAAGGGTTACTTCGGAATGTTCAAGTAACTTTTGAAAAGTTCAAGATGTTCAATTAATTAACTTCAACCAACTTTATTGGTTTGGGTAAAATAATTAAAATTAAAATAACTTGCATTTTGGGACAAGAGGAATAATACTTTGTCATACTCCTTCCGTTTAAAAATATAAGATATTTTTAATTAAATTATGCTATTGATAAGTTACTTAATTATCCTTAAATTGATATTATCTTTTCATATTTTCTTTATTTAAAAGGGTCTATTACTTAAAGGTGAAGGAATGGTTTAGTGATTCTTTTATTAAGGGTACTTTTGGAAAAGAAAGTCATTAATTACACATTGAAAAATTAAAAAAATGTATTTTATTTTTAAAAATATAAAATCAGAAAAAATTCCTTGTATTTTTTGAATGTAGGGAGTATAAAGTTTGTATTTGTATATACAAAGAAAGGAAAGTGTGTTATACTAGTATTCTGCAGAGAAGTTTATGAACTTCAGTAAGGGTTTGTTTGATTGAATTGTTGAACTCCCAAATCTCGATTGCATTCCCAAAAAATGGCGTGTTTTATATTTTTTTTGTTGTATGAATCCTAATCCTATGAAAAGACTCGTTACCAGACTTGTGGAAGGATGATTCTCCATAAAAGCGTGATCAATCCTCCATAAAATCGCACTATTTCCACTAATACCCTTCATCTGTGGATCTATGATGGAGATTTTTCCCCCTTGTGGGCATTTTGATTGGTTTGATTTTTTTATTTAAATATCAAAAATAAATTTTTTCCATTTTCAGTGTCATACCAAATAAATTTACGGTTATTAATCATTCCTTTTTCATATTTCCTGTGGACCAAACAGCCCTAAAGGCCCAAACTTTAAGAGTGTTAGGATTCCTTTATGCTATTAATTTCATTCTTCATTTACTTTAGGAATTGAATGTAGAAGAAATATAATATCTTTTCATCAATCATGAATCAGTAGCCACTGTATCTTGTAAATTTGTAGAACTTACCTCACCTTGTTCACAAGCTATGTTATGAACAATGTGGCTTCCTACATTTTGCCCCATGACTTTTTTTTTTCTATAATATCTTTTAATGTTCTTTCACAAGATTCAGTAGATTACCTTAAACCTACATTATTGCTGATGTAGAATCTACCTGATGTGCACATTTTCTATTTTAAAAATCTATATTTTTACATTAAAAAAAAAGCAATGCCATTACCATGAAACCAAAAAAAAAAAATCTAGTTTAGTGATTATTACTGCTAGTCATCTTCCACTGTGTGAAGAAATTGGTTTGATTTCTTCCTCATCCTATACCTTTATGAGCTGTGATTTTGTGTAATCATTGCATTCAAGCTGTTGAGTTAACATATTTACTATGATTATTGTTTCAGGATGAAAGAATCTTAAAACAAATCAATGCACTTAAGAGAAAGGTAAATGCTACACCGAACTTGGAATTTTAGGATCTGCTACATATGTGCGCGCGCGCCAAAGAATGTTATGTGAATTTATTCAATTTTTATCAACTGATAACCACTTAATCCTTTGTGTGTGTCTAAATATTGATGGTTACAGTAGCTTGTAAAAGGAAATCTCATTACATAACTTATTATACTTCCAGAAGCAGGAAAAACTTTTATGTGAATTTTACTGAAGTCTGTTCAATCCATTTTAGACTTGAAGTTGTTCCAAACCTAAAAAGGGTCTTTCACAGTATTGCAAAAGGTACATCTTTACTACAAAGAGTACTATTTATACAAGTTAAAAATGACTTTTTACATTGGTACCAAAACTGATGTAGAAAGAGGCAATGTAGAAAGTTTTGACTGCAGACTTTCTACACCGGTTAAAAGACCAGTGTTAAAACTTATTTTAAGAACTTTTTATGCTTTCTAAAATTGGAGGAAACAAAACCATTGAAGAGTGATTAAAAAACTTCTTGACTTTACTCTTTTAGTCTATCTATACAGTAGCAATTACATTCATTTCCCTTGTTCTCATATATCTATTTGGTTGGAGGGAAATGGAGGGAATGTGAGGTTCTAATGAGTTTGATTTTTAACAAAATGGAGAAGTGGGGTTAAAATATTTAATTAATTTTTCTTACTCTTTTAATTTACAAAATTCTCAAAATTTTATAACCCCACCTATCCATTTCTTTTGAAACGAATTCCTTAGAATTTCTCTTCCCTCCTTTTCATTTCCTTCCAAACAAACAGGGGTTAGTGATTAGCCCAACTAAGGAAAACATGAAAATAGAGAGAGTTGACTGAATATTACATTCATTTGTTTTCTTGGGATCACCATTTCTAATTTCTTAAATAAATTTGGTACTTTCCCCTCCTAAGAAAAGACAATCAATACCTAAACTATTAAAACGCAAGACATCCTTCTTTTGATTGGACTAGAGATATAACTTCATTTTTGTGAATGTAGCCTCTATTTAATTAGTCACAAAACAATATCTGAATCTTCTCAATCAGTGAGGTGCTGGCACACAAATTAATGGATGTGAAATGCACAAAAGAATATGGAATTAGGAAACTCAATTAATGTATGTGAAAATAATGCATATGCCACTCTTTTTATAATCTTCGTTATAAGACACTTAACTCATTTATACTCTCCATTAAATTAATTAATGGTATGTAAAATGACACATTCTTTCTACGTTTACTCTTATTTATTTAATAAGTTGGCTCAATTAAACAACCCTTGAAAAAAAACCTTATTAATTACACCTTAAAGGATTCAATGCACCTTATATTTTTTAATATGATTCTTCCAACAAAAAAAAAAAAAGTGTCTTATATTATGTAGCGAATGAAACGTAATACACACAAAGATCCACTTATGTTCATACTTGAATGATCAGTTATCTGAGAATCCCTGTTTGAGTAGTACATTCCACAACACGGGTTATTACAAGAGATTTGATTCTTACTCTTCTCTTCACACATGACATTATATATAATTTAAAAATTTCCCATGATGAGAAGATTCAGATCCATATCCTAACAGACTAATGCATATGATTTCACTAATACATAATGGATTTCAAGAAAAACCCAAGTGATGCTTTTTATGACACTAGCAATGTTCCGCGTACACTCTCAGTCACCTTTGCTGCTGCAATATGTTTGACTTTCATGTACAGGGAATCCAACTGAAGGAAGAAAACCAAAGAACGAAGCAGGTGATCACAGATTTTCAAACTCTTATCCTCTAAATTATTGCCTCTTTTTTCAGATGTTATGAAATGAAAGTCTTGTAACACAGATACACTAGAGCTTTATATGTACAGAGCCTTGTGCATGAACAAGGGCAGTCTTCTGAGTCCATCATCATTTGCAGTTCATCTGACATTAATCCTCCTCAAGACTGTGATAGTTCTGATATATTTCTCAGGCTTGGGTAATTAATTAGCTTATCTACTTTGTTGTAAGGCCCATGATTAATATTTCATCCATGCAAAAGCAAGAATTAAATCAATTTTCATATATTTAAAATGAGTTGAATCAAGCCTCTAAATAAATGTTGGACTATTGTGGGATAGCTAGCATTAATTGTGTTTTACTGTTTACTGCTCTGACAAATTTGGATTGTCTGAAGTTTTAATTATGTTTAGACTTGAGCATTGTTTTGTAAATTACAATAATGTTATTTTTATCATGTGTTTTAAATTTTTGAAATAATAAAAATATTAAAATTTCAAATATGTCAGATAGGTTTGTTTAATGTAATTTGAACCGTCTACATTTGATGCTGACGGTCTGAATTGAATATAGACCTTGGTTGCTGTGTTTTAGCATAGTGGAAGGTTTCAATTCTGCAAAATAATTTAAATTAAATTTTGAATAGGTTTTTAACTAAGAAATATACAATCCATTCATTTTGTGAAATAATAATAATAATAAAAGATACTGCTTCTATTTTCTACCTTGTTGGAATTAATATATTTATTTATTTATTCATGTGGCCATTATTGTGCATTCTTCATAGCACTAACAAGAATTTGGCTTTTGATGTGCTGCAGGTTATCTTTATTGAAATAAAAGCATAAATGTTATTTTCCTTAGAGAATTACACTTACGAACAGCGAAACACGATCTCTAGCTTCCATTTAACGATCACTTAAAAACCATTTTCTTTGTACGTACGTACGTACGTATGTATCATCTATGTGTGCGTGTGTGCGTAGGGCTATCAGGTCAAGCTGAGAGAACTGTACTACAATTCTCTCTCTCTCTCTCTACATACATGCATATATATATATATATATATATATATATATAATTTCTTTTGGCTAATTCGCTAAACACTGCAATTGGATAAGTAATAGTTAGTCATCTGTTGCATTATTGGTAGTGTGGACTTTTCTGTTCCTCACTCTTTCTCCTTTTCCCTTTTTGTGGCCGAAGAAGACTTTGCAGAAAACAAACTATAAAGCAATTGTTTATTAATTCAGAAAAAAAAAAAATGTACGGTTTGAATTGACTTGGCTTCCAAAGGGTACAGCACTAAAAATTATATTTAAACAACTCACCAAAAAAAAATTATATTTAAACATTTCCAATCAAATTAAAGCAGAAAAGATAATGCACGTGAGCATGGTAGGACACACAACTTAGTTAACTGCAAATTTGCCTCGAGTTCTAATTATAGTGTCTTCTAAAATATGTTATTGGTCTATAAAATATAAGGGAGAATGACGAAGGGATTTTAAAATAATTAATTAATTTAAGTTAAATTTTAAGTATTAAATTTTAAAAATTTTAAGTTCATCTTTTAATTTTGTAAGTGCGTTATGATAAATTTATAATTTATTTTTTAAATTTTAATATAGTTGAAAAATAAAAAATTTTATTTTTTTATTAAAATTTAAAATACAAATTGTAAATTCATAGTAATGGAATTAAAAAATTAAGAGATTAAGTTGCAAATTTTTAAAATTTAACATTTAAAACTTAACTTGAATTAATTAATCCTTTTAGGACCTATTTATCATTCTCTCATAATACAATGTGCTTTTAATATTATCTAGTGATTTTTTTTAACCCTCACTGAGAGATCTTGTAGATTGATCCATGAAAAAAATGGAGGTTTTATAATAATTACATTTATTTAATTAATAAGAACAAAAATAGAATCTTGAGTTGTTTTTTTGTTGGGACAAATTTAACAATATTGCATATTTTTACAAGATACATGAAATAGTTAAAAATATTTTATATTTTAGATGATAAAATATTAATACATGATGAATAATTTTAATTTAGAATCCAAGTCTTGTAGCCATCCCACATCCATTAATTCATTCCCTCTAAAAAATGTATACAAATATATTTTGGGTATGTAATTTGAACCCTAAACTATATATCCAAGGGTAATTTGAATCTTAAACTCATATTTGACACATTCTGAATCTTAAACACATTGAACATGATTTAAATCATGTCCCCTTACACTTGAGACAATTTTAGTAGCATAATAACTTAAAATTGGAATGCTTTAGGCTTTATGCCCTTTCTTTGTACTACTTTAAAATCAAAAATAATTTAAATCTATGCAGAACACTAATTTAAAAAAAAAATCAGTAGCATAATAGCACATAAATGAATTTTTACAGACATAATAATGCACTTTTTTCAAAAACAAATATAGAACAATATCACAGCATTATTTTTAGAAAATAAAATCAAAGATAGCAAGCAATTTTTTCAAAAAAAAGTAGGGCAAATAGAAAAAACATCATCATTATTTCAAAACCAAGAACTAATTACCCCAAAGAACAACCCAATATCAGAAAAAGCAATTAAAAACCTCCATAATTCAAAGCAATTCGTTCTATTAAATTAACCAACACCATCAGCGCATGTACATTGTCTAAAGCAATTAAATTCAACATATATATATATATCAAGAAAATTTAATAAAAAAAAGTTTCCAATGATTAAATATATCATTTTTATATAAAAAATAAAAGGAGAAACGGAGATGCACATTAATGGAGTTAGAGAAGAAGAATAGTCGCGTATACACTCCATAAATAAAAAAAGAAAACAACCAAAACTCAATAAAAATGATAATGTAGGAAGATTAGGGAGAGGATCACAAACCTAATGGAGAAAAACTTGAAAAAGATGAAAGAAGAAAATCAACGGACTCCCAAACATTGAAACTCAAAGAAAAAAGACAAAACCACCACAGCAAGACAAGGCACGGCAACGGTGATAGAAGGTATGGTGATGGCAAAAAAATGACTGGGCAATGCCGGAAATTGTTTTTTGATCACAATGGGAGGGTTTCGTTGTGAATGGAGAGGTTTCATGAGAGGAAGAGAGTCTTCAAAATTTTTTGAATCATAACATTTTGATGGCAAAATGAAATTGAAAAGTTTTTTAAATGGAATTATTTAGCAGTTATTAAAACTAATTGCTATATAGTCTATGAGACTATATGGCGATTTAGTCTGTGAGACTATATAGCGATTGTTTTAAAACAATCGTTACATAAACTTTGAGACAAAAGTTTTAAAAAGAAAAAAAAAGACTAGTTAAATGGTTTTTTTTTTTGAATAAATGTTATACATAGATTGTATAATGGTTATATTAGTTAACATTATATGTTCAAGTGCACTAAATCTTGCCTCTTCTATATAACTATTTTTTTAGTATACAAAACGCTATATACTGCCTATTTAATAGTGAAATCGTGCTTATTTTAACGGTAAAAGGTGCTCTGTTTTGTGTAGCTTTATATGTGATTTGGCAAGCCATGATTAATGATGACTCTAAACATGAAAATCTTAATTGTGATAGGGTATGTTATAATAAGGGGATCGATGATCTCATAAAGTTAGATGGAAGCATTTGCTAATCAATAGGAATAGACAAAAAAAAGCTACATGAACTAGATTTAGTATTTTTGAGCCTTTAATTAGATGCACCTTTTAAATTTAAATAAATTTATCAAAAAGTTTATATTTTTAAAAATTTATCAAAATGTATAAAAACCCAATGTCCCTTTCAAAATTGAAGGAAAAAACTCTCACTATTGCCTTTCTCTTTACTTGATTCATCACCACTACTGTCAATGATAGTAAATGGGGGGAGGAGAGAAGAGATTAAGGATAGTGATGAGAATTCCTTGAAATTTAGCCAATTCCATCATGATAGTGATGGAATTAGATTCAAGGAATTTTTGAAAATTCATATTCATACACTACCTCTATTTTAAATTATAAGACACTTTTAAAAGAGTTTCTCTATCTCAAAATATAAGACACTTTGAGTAGATTAAGATTTCATTAAATGCATCAATTTTAATATTATCATTTCTCTTTCCATAATTAATTTTTATCCTTTTTCTTTTCAATATATTAAATGATGGGTATTTTTAAAAGTTTATATTTTTAAAAAATTTTCAAAAAATGTCTTATAATTTAAAACGAAAAAAATACTAAACCACTGAACTTCATGATTTTGGTTCCATTTTCATTTCAATTTGGCCAATTATAGGCTGCCAATTATAGCCTAATTTTCAAACATATATAGCAATATAAAGATGAAATTGTTAAAAAATATGCTGAAAAGAATTATGTGAATCATTAAAAAAATATACTAATTGAGCATTTACAATTTCTGGTTCAGGTTTAGCCCCGCTCAATATTGACATTTTATTTTGAAATTTGGATTCATGTTTTAAAAAAGCATTAGACCAATCAGTCTAATAGTGGTACTCGCTTCTTTACCGCCTGATTCAATCTTCTGAATGGTATTTTCTTCTTAAAAAACAAAAGCCGAACCGTTATGCCATTGTCCAGTTGACAGTGCCATCGATCAAACCATTCACTTCAGTCTAATTTTAAAATAATGCTCCACACTAAACAAACATCCGTACGCTACACACAATTGTGTGTGTATAATTTGAATTTGAATTTAAAATTCTATTCGAATGTGTCTGAGTCAAGGCTGGTTAAAATAAATTGAAAGCAAAATTAGTACGAGGGAACATGAATGACACGATTGCTGTTGCAGAGCGTCTGACATAGTTATGATAGCAGAGCCTGTCCTGTTTTGGCGCATCAAGTTTACATGTGACATAACCACATTGCTAACTCATTTACACTCAACTCATTGTACTTATATTTGATCTAATTAAATTATTCATTTTTTATATAAATATGCAATTTATATATAATTGGAAAAAGATACTTGCTGTTTATACTTTTGGAAAAATATATTTTCATATAAAAATAATTAATTTATTTTTAATAATTTATTAAATAAATCATGCACGGACTATATATTCTTTTTCTTATTTAATATAATTAAACTAATTCCTATAAAAGGAAAAGCCCAATCGCTGTAATTGTAAGAACCTCTTATTGTCAGCCATGTGGGGACCACATGTAGCTGTCTATAGTAATAGTAAAGATGGCGCGCTGCGACACAAACAAAAACAAGGGAGGATGACAGTCATACACCAAGACGCTAGACTAGGAGAGAATATTAATAAGGGATTCACTAAAAATTTAATATAAAAAAGAACTAGGGTTGATGGAATGTTTGTTAAAATTTAAACCTCATTTGTTAGTCATTAATATTTATTTGTTTGAAGTTCTTATTAAACATTAAAATTTTTTAAAGTTCCTTCAATGATAGTCTCCCTTAAATTGACACAAGTTAAGTTCTCAATAAAAGTAACTCTCTCATCAAAAAACATTAATATATCCTAAAGAAAATATACTCTAAATTTACTCAAAGAGACTAGAATGTTGGGGGCAAGATTAGCTGAAATTCTAATGAAACTAAATTGCAATTTAGAGGTGAAACTTGATGGGAAGACTGTGAATAAAAAGAAGTAAAAAAAACTGATTAAAAAACTTATATACTTATCCCACATAAGATATATCTTTTACAGTAGGAGTTGTGAGTCAATTTGCATGTAATCCTCGAAAGGAGCATATGGAAGCTATGAACAAGATTCTTAAATATTTGAAAACCACATAGGCAAGGGCAGAGTTAGGCAAAAAAGCTCAACCCAATTGGCTACGTTGCAATTTTTTGCAAGTTGGAATGGTAAAATGAGCCCATTTTGGAAAATAGGTTGGGTTGGCTCAGATC